ACTTTTAAACTCTATATGTGTGTGCTTGTATGTGTATATTATTTATATACAAACTTTTCAGAATTTTAATTTTTAGTTTTATGTTGCACTTGCAAAATATTCTTCTTAATATTCGATATCATTATTTTTTTAACATAATTTAAACAGCCAAAATAAAATCTTGTATAATTTCATAACTCAATTAATTTTAAACAATTTATCATTGAGATGCATGGTTTTGATATATTTTTAGATTTAATCTAAAGGCACTTAACACGTTTCACATGAAAATCGCTTATTCGATCCTCTCTTTCAGCCTCGTTCGGCATTCTAAACGTGAAATCTGAGAACAATTCGATAACGTTAAAAAAATCGTGATATTAAATCACTTGGATTCGATAGTCGAAAGGTGACGAAGTGTTCGGCCAACGAGATTTAATGGACAGATGTCATACGTCGGCATCACAAAAATTGCGCGTGCCAAAGTGACGGATCGTTGTATTCGGAGACTCGAAGCCGATGGAATTACAGAGTAGAAAGAGGGCGAAAATGTAGATGGGAAACGAGCAAGAATTTCTACAATCGCGCGAAATTGTCGGAACAATACAGATCCATTAAAGGCCGGCATTTGTTTGCCTGTAAAATTTATGCATTTAACAGGTCAAGCACAAAATATCGTGTCTTGAAGGCACGCAAAAGAATAAGCCACAGCAATCATACCGGTTAAGAAAATAAGCCCCAGTTATTCTATACCTTCCTTCTCTTTCCGCCTCTTTTCTGCTTTCGCAGTTTTTGACGATAAAATTTGCGAGCATAAATTAAAATTTCTATTTCTTTTTTAAATTCTTTTTTAAATCTTACTAATAAACTCCAAAATTAATTAACGTTAAAGTTCGTAATAAAAAAATATTTATTATTCTCTTGTTGCCATGTTGGGAAATTGATTCACTGCTACAATTTATAATTTTTATTAACGATGGCACCTCTAAATTAATGAAAATTTTAGATTAAAAAATAGAATGACTTTTTATAATTTTAAAAAAGACAAAAATTATATACACATATTGATGAAATATATGAGCTACATGTATAAGTTTTGGAAATATGTTTATCTTGATTCAGTAGACTGAATTACTGTCATCTGAATTAACGTGTCTGTGTGTAATTGATTTAATCATTTAACGCTTAAGTAGTAATCAGTATTGTTTAACATAATGCAGTTCGAAATACATGTATGTAAATCATAATTTGAGTTAATTCAGGTATCGCGAACCGACTTCTCGTACTAATCACAGACCGCATTACGTACTGACATTTACAGTCGCGATTAATTGTATAACATTAAAATTTTTGCCTGTTGTGAATATTTTACTTAACACCGAAATTTATCAGCAGCGATGTTATAATCAGCGTGCCCTAACACTATAAGATTTAATAAACTCTCATTTTATTAGAGTTATTCAAGGAATTATTTCAACTTTCTTGTTTATTGATCATTGAATGTATTATCATGTAAACACACATACATTTCACAAATCTATGTTTAATGTTATATAGCGTTTTCGTTTATGCTATCAATTATAATCCATTTCAATTAAGTTCATATCAAATTTTGCATAAATAAATTATACGAATAATAAAAATGAAATAGTAAAAATAAGTAAAAGTAAAAAAACATTCCATAAACTGATATTATAAAAGAAAAACGCATCTCACACTATAAATAAAAAATCTTCAGTTTTTATACAGAGAAAATAGAGATAAAAGATAAATCAACAAAAGTTAAAAAAAAACATTTCACTTTTAAATTACATAAAACTCACAATCAGTAATAATAAAAATATTTTTGAGAGCTTAATTTTTGATTAAGATATTATTACGTCGTAGATTACTCAATAACGCTTTTTGATGTAAAATGGAAGAGAGAAAAATTTTATATAAAATCGATAATATCTTCATGGAAAAATTATTTTTAAAAGTTTGATAGATAATAAGTTAGTTAGCATAAAAGAATGTTACATTATTCTTTTAGAGCAAGAATAACGAAAATAATATTTTAAGAGTATTTTCCTGACTTTATTCATGCGATTAAACTTTGCTATAACCAGATCGTTGTCTGCATTTATCGAAAGGGACGGATGCGTTAGAAATGTCGAATATGAGGGCTATTTGTAAATGGGAGAGTTACGGTAATTCCATTGCTAAGTTTAAGATCGATGCGGGTGGAAGTTAAGTATTTAAGACACTGTTAAAGTTTCACAGACTTTCCCATGGACTCACTCTTTTGAAGTGGGCAGCTGCAAGGAATTCAGCTATATATAAAACACAACCATACTCTCTTTTTCTCTCCTTCTTTCTCTCACTCTCTCTTTGATTCTCCTTCCTCTCTTTAGTCAAATATATGTTCAGGAAATTCTAAATATTTGATCACGCAGTCCAGCTCGGATTTTACGGATCGCACAATAATCCTCGCGGTGTACGCTCTCAACTAACTCAATTCCTCTCTCTTTCTCTCTTCGTATACTCTAATAACTCGACGAAAATTAAGCTTATTCTTGTTATCTCCTCTCTCAATCCACGCGCTTCGGGCTACTTCCGTGCGCAGGATTAAATTTGTCTAACTCCGACCGAGAGCCGCATATTCTTTCCTAAGCAAAATAATTGGCGTTGGCCTGATAAATTAAAGAAGAGTATAATGGAGTGCACGTCTAGTTACCTCGCGGCAAAAACTGTGAGGTAGATAATATGAAATAAAATCTTACTTTTTTTTCTCGATGTTTTTCTGCGCTATTTATTGTTAATTCAATACCGACGAGAATTATCAGCGTTAATCATCTTAATTTAGCATGCTAATTTAAGATCGTATATATAATATTATTATTAAAATATGTAGATCATTGCAGCTATATCTGATTGTGACAGAATCAAATAATATATAGAAATTTTATTGTTACTGATACTGAAATAGTTTTTTGTGATATTAATGCCGCTAATATGTGAAGCACAATAGAGAAGCGCTAATTGTTATACCATTAAGTACTTTTATTTCTAATTTAACACAGCTTTCAAGTTTAATTCTTTCTCATGAAATCTATATATTTTTGTTAGAAATGTAAACTAAACTTAGAGAAAAAGAAAAAGAGAGAAAGTAAGATTTTGAGAATAAATTCTAGCACGAAGAATTGGATCAATAAACATAATTAAAATATTAATCATTAATATAAATGTATATATTATTCTGTAATATTAGCATATTATGTCGATATGCCAATATTGAAAAACCTTCAATTTTTTCTGTTCTCTCTCTTGCAAATTTAATCACAGCGATTTAGATAAATTATTTTTAATATTTTTTCAACATACAGTTATTAATTTCTTTAATATTCTCATATATATAGAATATAAAAATAAAAAATTGATAAAAAAGTTGTATCGAACATACGATTTTATGCCAAATATAAACTATCTGTATGAGCAGATACTCCCCTCCCTTCTACACTTTAAAACAGGCTTTAGCTTTCGAGACGACTAACGTTCCATAACACAGTCGTCCTCAGACACTTCGCGCAGAACGTTCGGAGCTGAAGATAGTCGGAAGTTAGTGACATCAATCGATTACAATTGAAATTGTTAGTGCACAGTGTCTAAGTTTCTATTGCTTCGCAATACAGATAAGCAACTGCTATGAAATAATTGTTGTACAAAACAGTTATTCATTTTTCGACATTTAAATGTATGTCTATATATTTAATAATATATTTACTAAATATTAATTATATTAAATTTTGTTAAATATAATTGTAAAGTAATAAAGAATCTGATTAATTTTGGAAAGGTTTATTGATTACGCGTGATTACGATTGACACGTGATTAATTTTCAAATTTTTCAGACGTTTTTAATTACGGTGCGAGAATTAAACGAAAACAAAATAATCTACATATTTACGCGCCAAATTATATTTTATGTGCCTGATATATAAAAGAGCCTGCTTATCTGGCACTAACAAATTTAGAATATTTACTGACCTTCTGCAAATATATATGGTATATATATATTAGCACAAAATCTCTCATCTCTTTAAATTTTAAATAATTATTTACACTTGTGACATTAAAACATTGACATAATGATGATTCGCTACGCTGATACCACATATCGTTTATCGTTTTCATTCGCAAAATATTTTATCGGTCAAGTGGATAGGGATAGATGAACATTGCTGGTACAATAGGGAACGACTTTTCAACTGTACAAATCCGCGGCAGTTGTTTCGAGAACGAAAAAAAAAAGTATTACGACTGTAGCGCACTAACACGACCGGTGAAGAGAAAAAAAAGGATACAAGCTTTTGCACCGACCGAAAACCGTAAAATGCACCGTAAAGCGCGTTACTGCGAACCATTTAGAAAGATCGATCGATCCCATGAACACTTTCAGAATGATCGATGCACCGTCCCAGTATGCCGGTTCCTTTTTTCAAAATAGAAGGCTGGAATTGTTGCCAGAGATAAATCACCGATTTTCTCCAGTAGTGTGTATTGAAAAATACGAGAATCATAAACTGTGATAATTTCGGCAGTAAACAAAGTTATAAAAAAACAATACATTATAATTTAATCACCTTGTTATATAGAGATATTGACTTTGTCAAAAGATACGATCGATTTAATCGATTCGTCATTAATGGACATCACTAGACATTGCTAAAATCGCTAGAGATTGCGAACTGTGTAAACTGATATGCGATTTACATGATTTCTTAATGCGATAAATCAATGATATCCTTTTGGCTGAAAACCCTCTTAATACCGAAATATAATATATCTCTTCTTTGATATATTTATATTACCTCTTTTTAAAATCTGATATTTCACAATAAAAGTGCCTTAATGCGAACTTGCGAATAGTGTCGCGAGAGGAAGAAAGGACGAATAGAAGCAGAAACGAGATTCGTGAAACAAGACAATGAACCTAATATGTCGTACGGTAGTCTACTATTTCCTGGCTATTTATTTAAAGGGTTTGCTGCAATCTTTGAAGCTATACTCCGGCCATCCCCCGGATCTTGTAAAATGTACTGCTGACTTTGACGTAAGTATACTTCCACTTTTACTATATATAATCTCGGATAAAAGGATATTAAAAATTATATTTATTACATTTTTCTTCGGTTTACACAAAACATATTTAAAATAAATATCGTATTTCCCTCTGATCAACAAGTAAATAAATGTGGAAATTATTTTAGAAGAATTTACATAACTATGTTTATCTTTACCTGCCCTGGTATTTATTATAACTTAATTACGTAATTTATATTTACAAAATTTTCTATAACAAATTTACATTGTACTGACATATTTTATATTCCGATCTATATAAAAATAAATATGCTGCAGTATTTATTTTTTGTTCAAATCTTTATATTCTTCATATCTTCTTTTATAACAGCAATCATTTGATTGAGTACTTATTTTTCTTGTTCAAAATATAGTATATTATGGTAACATTTAATCTTTAAATATATTTATCAAATGAAATAAAAATAAATGGATCAAGACTTTGATTAAAATAAGGCAAATTTGTGAAATTAATTCAAGAATAAATATTCCTCTTTATTCATCTCTATCTAAAAGCTTGATCAAACTCCTCAAAATTCTTCTGAATATTAGCAAAATTAGAAATTTCTTAATAAATAGGAATAATTTACGATATTTGACCGAGAAAGGTTTTGCGACGATACTTGTTCGATCATGGTCGCTTATATCCGTGATTATCATGCAGGATATCCTCGAGAATTTTCGAGGTCTGGCTTCTCCATAGCTCACCTGTACCGCCTGATGGGGTCTGCGAGTACCCCTTGCGGGCAGCAATGTGCCGCGAACGGATCGCGGTGAGTCAGCAACGATAAATCGAACAATTTATGAAGCGGGACGACCATCCTCGAGGAATAATATCGGGATCGATTGACGACGTTGAGGCGGGCCATCAGAATTTTCGAACGCCCGTCAGCTTTGTTAATTGTCTCAGATAAGAGTCGAGACGTTTTTCTATATATAGCATGAGACGATTAAATCGATTCTCGCTCGTCATAACGTATCGAACCATTTGGAGCACGCGCGGTAGTGCAAAGACAAATAATGTTTCAATCCTGCATTCTAGAAACTGATAAACAAAATCATTCGCGAACAGCCTCGTTGTTCATATATGATATCGTATCTCTACGATAATAATTGATTTTTCATTACCGTTATGAGCAGGTTCGTATATAGAGAGTACTTCAGAACTTCCTTTATTAACTTTTATGCCAAAAACTTTGGATTTAATTTGAAATTAATTATTTCTTCAAGATTTATCACGGTTCGTGATTATTATGCGCAATTAGAAATAAATAAATTATTATTTTTCGAAAAACAAACTGTTGAGAAGAAATAAACATAATTTAAAAGTATCATCAGAAAATTTAATCATTAAATTCGAGAATTTTGTGGCATCCGTAATATAATCAAGCTGATAAATAATATAATTAATCACTATTTTATTAACGAAATATTTTCACAGAATTTGAAAATCACAATTAATTTCCACCAAACGCATTTATCAAAGTGCTCAGCAAAGCCTGTATACGTTAATTATTTCATAATATCTTTCACAATTTCCTTGATAACTTTTATCGGATGGCGCTAATTTAATCGATCACGCAAAAAGCTGTACGACTAATTAGTATCAGATTTTTTACACCTATTTTATGATCTAGATATTATGCCCTATGGCCATTAGCGGTATTACAAGATCACATCACAGCTCGTCACGATAAATTACTGTACCATCACGCAGAAGAGCGTGATTTGTAATACACGATACTTTTACGCGAGCAATTATCGGAATGGTAATCTGATGATTATCCGTCTGACTTAATATAACATTATTAATTATTTCATATTTTATTTTATTAATGTATTCGCAAATTTGAAATAATATTGAAAAAAAACATATAAAAAAACATATATACTTATACACATAGATTTTATGCAATTCTTAGTTTCTCTCTCTCTCTCTCTCTCTCTCTCTATATATATATATATATATATATATATGTATGTATAGTTTCTAATATTAAATATCTTAGTAATTAAACGTCTCATTAAAATTCTGTTCAAGTAAAATCCATTTTGAAATTATATGAATAATAAAGACTTATTATCTACAATTACATTTATGAAAGTTACATTTTCCGGAAAGGTTATTTAGTTCCTTAATGGCTTCAAAAATAATCAAACTCATGAGAACTTTTTTTCTCGCTTTTATATTTTTAATAATGTAGAAATTTATACACGGAGTTACCTTTTCAATATTAGAGTCGATAAAAATTAGCTTTTTTACGAATCATATGAAATTTGCAATGTTATCTCAGAATTTCTACATTATACATATAATCATCTTGGAAATTATGCGAAGATTTCTATAATACACCCCGTAAGCGTAGACGATATTTGAATTATATTATGTGTAATAACGAATTCCTATGGTAACAAATTTTCCTCAGATGCTCCACAATGTTCCTGCGAACTACAATGTTACTATAATGATCGTCCGAACCCGAATACCGCGGTCTCGAATTTTCTCGGATCCAAATTCGTTCATCCGTTCGTTCGTTCGTTCGTACGTTGCTTTACTCTGTGAAATTGCAAAATTTAGAAAGTAGATATCTCTTGCATTCGTATTTGCTGTTTGAATGAAAATTAATTAAACGCGACATTTATTCAAACGAACGTTTGCAAATGTGTATATATATATATATATATATTACATTTTCACGGATATTTTAATACGGCTGACATAAATTGATCGATCGAATTTCAAGAATTTCATTAAGATTTGACCTCGTCGTTGCTTAGATTACAGCATATAAAATTTCAAGGGAAAGTATATTCGTAAGACGGAATTTTTTCTCCTCTTAGCTCGCCCTTTTTCATCGTATGCAAAACACAAACAATTGTCGTGTTACTGTGCTGCAAACTTTGAAGGCACTCTGTATTTTGTTCGTCGCGTATTACCTTTCGCGATCACATTGTTGATAATTAAAAGTCAACGAGCGGGCTGAGCGTTCTCTCCAGAGTCTACGGAATGTGCAATAAAAATTCATTACGTCGACTATATAGGGCGTACGATATTCACCGCGTGACGCGTTTTCTGCTTAAAATAAAACTCGGTTAGCCAATAATTTTTTAACAATATTGTCGCGCTTGAATTAAGTTATTTTATTCGTCGATTTTTCTGATTGGAATTGTCTATCGAATACTAAATATAATTTCAATTGATTAATGTTTCATAATCTGCATAATTGAAAAAGTTTGTAATAAGCAAATAAAATGTCGGATAAAGCTTTATTCGATGTCTATTAATTCCGCATTAGCATGAATTACAAATATAAATATATAAAATAAAGCTCAGATATTTTATTCAGATATATATATATATATAAAATATTTATTTTAATAAATACAAATAAAAATAGTAAGGATTATTTATTAAAGAATTATAAATTTATTTATCGAGAAAATTCTATACGTGTATTATTATTATAACCAGGTTATTAAATTTTTATTAAAACAAGGATGAAAAAATATTTGCAGATAACAAATGCTGTTTTTTATATGTAAAAACAAAAGAGATTATTTTACGAAACATATAAGCAAAAGATAAATTCTCTTTTCACTATTACTTTCGAGAAGAAAATTATTATTCCTACTTTTCGTTAATATTAGCATCTGCTGCATTTTTATTTGCATGATCTATTACACACATCTTGTACACATATGTTCGTAATCGTTTCACGTTTCGATCATAAATAAGCACACAACGATTAACAGACCAATGCATTTGTGAAAATTTCTTCTCCATCGCAATCGAGTTCGGGCGCGAATCGAACGCGGGCTCTAAATAACGGATCAAACATCCCAGTTTTGTACGGGACCGACATGTGTGGGAGGGCACAATTTGTCTGCGCCGGCATGCCGGCGGAAAAAAAAATAGTTCTCGATTGAATTTAATGCTCCACGCTGGCTGCGTATGCTCCAATCAGTCGGAGTATCAAAGATCAAGCGAGAGAGCCGATAAACGATCAAGGACGAAGAGAAAGAGAGGATGTAAAAGGATGAAGATGAAAAAATTCGACCAAAAAAAATGAGAATAAATAAATAACGAAAAGAGAAAAAAAAGAATTTTAGAAGGAAAAAGAAAATGCATTACATTTCACGTTAATTCAACCGTCGGTTACGTACGATAGCACTAATCTATCAATTAATCATCGATCAATAATTTGTATGTGTGTATATATATATATATATATATTTGTTCATTCGGCAATGTATCTTTCGCGAAGCGCTTTTCTCCCGACCAACGTTCAATCTTTTTTCGACTCTACGTTTTTCCGCTGTCCCGTCTAATCGGCTTACTCGTAATACGAATAAACACCCCCTCGTTACTTGAATGTAATTTATTGCTCTAAATGAATAATCCCGCGTTCTTATTCCCGGGCAATTCGCAGTTGTCCATTTAATTTACCGGTATCATCTGTTTCGATCCCAATTTATCGTGAATATCTTCGCATCGTATAATCCTCGAATTCCAAAAGACTTCAAAATTGCAATTATCGCGAATAATGCAGCGTGCAAATGGATTTTCGAGTTACAAAACAAATATATATAGAGGAGATGGGAATAAGTGCACCAATACTTGATTATGATAGGAATACCTCATTTTCTCCATTATGGCGATAAAGCCGCGCGCTGCTAGTTCTTAGCCAACGGTTTCGTTATAAATAAGCCAGCCTTAACCGTGCCCAATTTATACGCGTCGTCCTTAAGAGCTCGAACCGACGATATATACCATAAATATCCTCCCCATTTACCCCTTGCGTCTCGTCTCATTTTCCAATCTTTCCTGCTACTCGCGTTATACAGCGACGCGATAATACTGCTTTTACATGGTAGCATAAAAGATATCAGAGTTCCCTATTTTCGTTGTAACGACAAGTTATCGAGACACGCATTGTAAAATAAGACAGTATCATTTCAACTACACAATAT